TGTATCTAAAGTACAGGAAGAATGAAACAATAAAAGTTATAATAACAATAATAAACAAAATCAAGGTGGATTCATAAACCACAAATACAGAAGTGCATTATTTTAACTTGAATATCTTGAATTTTACTGTATAACGTGGGGAGAACATGAAAGTGATACGTAAGTCGTAGTCGTAGATGAAAGATCTGAAAGCACCACATCACATTAAATATATACACGTTTTAAGTATTATTTGCTTAAACATCTTGATAAAAATTATGACAATTTTCTGTAGCGCCATCTATCTGAAAAACAAGAAAGCAGCACGTCCATGCGTCATGTTACATTCTTTTAAACGGTGATAGGTTAAACCTCCATTCTCCATCTTTATACCACTTGCCATAATTTACATGTACTTAGTGCATACAAATTTAACAACATAAATCTAACATATTGTTTATTATAATTAAACTAGACCACAGTAATGATTAATAATTACAATTAGTGATTTGATTAGACTCATTTATTATTGGCATCATTTGATCCGTATATAGAGAGTAGACACATGACGCAACGCCATTCCTTCTCGAGATGTATGTACTTTACTCGTAAGAATATTAATAACGTATCCAAATGTTTCCCGAGTTTTAAAGCAATAACTAGTTCACAAAACTCTTTTATTGCGGACTGTCAGATCAAACTAAACGAAACGCAAACAACAAGAAGAATGCCCGACTTATTACTCTGAAAATTTATATCCACATTTTTATTCTCCGACAATCTTCTACAGCAGCCACAAGGAGTGTTTATAAAATTAAAGTATGATGAAAAGTTAACGTACATGGCAATAATCGAATAAATGACTCGTGATTCAATTAGTTTATGATTTATTTAGAACATCCTGCTCCTTAGACAGAGCTCAACAATCGAATAAATTAAATAAATTATGCGTTAGTTAACAGCCTCGTTTTTTTGCAAAAAGTTTTTCAACCGTCAGTTATAAAAAGTGACTACACGCCATTCTTAGCGAATACAATATTCATTAGCGAAAAATAAAGCCTCAACTATCCTTAAGAGGCCGCTTTTCTTGGCGTGATTACGTCTGCACAAGAAAATTTTTATTGCGTTTAAAGAGTTATTTATTAAGTTTGTATATTAGTCATTGTCGAGACGCAGATCAATTTGAATTTTTAAAATTGATTTTAAAGTGACTGTTGAAAGCCAAAGCGTATTTAACGGATTCATACATAAACACCCGTTAGTTGTAATTACAATTGTTGTAAGTTTATAATCTTGGGAAAATAATTTGAAATTGTTAGTGGCTGTGAAGGTGACTTTTCAAACAAAGAAAGAAACCATATCAATTCCTAAGACCGGCAACATTCACTAGATATAAGGTATCATGGAGCAACACGTTGTGTAATATGAAGATATTTTCATAATTTTTTCCACATCCCTTCCTTCTAATATTTATGTCTTATTTCCGGAGAAACGCTAGCAAAACAAGGGGTTGAACTGGGAATTTGAATGAATGGTCATCAAATTTTACGAAGGGAAACATCATTCTTTTAAATACCACAAAAAAAGACCAAACTCACAACTACCTACACTCGTACAAGTTTTTAAAGTTCATGATATAAAATTTTCGTCATATCGCCATGATCACCCCAAACTTTTTTACTTTTCAAATTAACGTTGCTAATTTTTAATCCGGCTAAAAATAAAACCGAATGAAAGATTTTTTTCCAAACAAATTAAAACGCATCGAATTTGCATCCATTAGTTTAATTAAATGTCAACGAATAAAGTTTTCTAATTTTAAAAAACAACTTTCATTAACTCTTACCGCAAAAATTACGTTGACTACATGCTGATCGACTGCTATTAATAATCAAACCGTAATATACTGCTCCTAGAAATTAACGTATCGCTACGTAATCGTTTTAAATTTACAACCCGTTCGTGACATAATATAAAACAAGAGGTGACTTAAGTCAACGATTTTTACTTAAATTCAATTAAATGCAAGTAGAGAGTCGGGTAATAAGTATGTAGGTATTTGTTGCCGCAATCCACGATGTGCCAGTGAAAGAATGTGTTCCATAAACAGAGAACAAGACGACATTCTTATTTTACCGATAAAGTTTCTTTCTGAAAAATGGTTATAATCAGACAACCACCATAAAATTCTAGCTTACGGGATGAAAAATTAACCGAAAAGATATTATATTTTCACCACAATGAAACTGTACATTTTTAATGAGCAAGAAAGTTTACAAAGTGTGCGTAGCGTAAATTATGTATGAATTGCGCACTTGGATGTTTTTCATGAAATTTTGTTAATCAAGGTTTGGTTTCGCAAATTTAAACAAGTTCACTGACTACAGAAACCGCTGTGAGATAGCAAACATTCCCAAGTGTTAAGACTCCTCAAAAATGCGGCGAAATCCGATATTATTCTTCATCTGCATGAATAGAAAACGTTCGTTTAATTTTAAACTTTCAACAAGATTTACGAGTAATGAAATATTTATGCACATACTTCAAAATGTTATTTTCGTTTTCGCAAATTCGTTTCGCTTGTTTTTCCAATTTTCGGCAACGTTTGAGTGGTGAATGAAGCCCATGTTTTCAGAAATTTCGTGAAAAATTCCCTGGTGTTGCTTAAGGTAAAATTATTTCGTGGAACTGGCAGCATTAAGAGGAAATCAGGAAGTCGCACATTAACAAAATTAACTCCAGAGATTGTTGAAAATATCGGACAGGTTATGCATCTTTAAGACTTTTGTCATATTCAACTTGCCAAAAAATTGTTAAAAAGGACCTACATAATGCAGGTGGTTCAAGAACTGGTTTAACCAAACAATGAACAATGACCTTCTCTGAACGTCCATGGGAAAACAACAAGACGGATTCATAAACCACAAGTATAAAACTATCTTCTCTTATAAAATTGAAATAACGGACCACGTACAATTTTGAGGTGGTGTCATCACATTGTTGGTGGGGATAAGACACATTTTAATTCGCATTTTAGCAACAGTCAACAATCACTGTTAGCGTATCTACAAAAACATTTACAATAAGTTATGTTAATTATGAAAGTTTAAATTAAATACTTTAATTGTTACTAATTTGTGATGTTTGTTTGCTTAAGAGTATTTCAAGAATGAACCCAAATGATTAAAAAGCTACATAGTGATTAAGAAAATACTTGTTTATTGCTTGTCACAATTAGAACAATAGAGAACAATTTTAAGTATGTAGTTCTATTTATTAATAATTTAATACTACAAATACCATATAATAAAAGATTATGAATGAACATGCAAAAATTTGTATGAAATTTTTTTAAATGTGAAGCGTAGTCAATTTATTTTTATCAATCCATTCACGTCAATACATTTTTTTCTGGCGATCTTGACGAAAATTTTGAAGAAAAATTAAAACAGAAATTCAGAATCGCGTTTTCTGCATATAAAGGTATTATTGGTTTCCACTTCGTCGCAATACCGTAATTCACACATTTTCTTTCGTTTAATTTCGCAGCAAATAGAAATAACCAAGTATAAGTCACACCAACTGCAGCCAACAAAATTCTATATTAAAAGCTTATAAACAGTTTTGTTCTTATTTTTAAATCTCATGTTTTTAACGAATTTATTTAAACAAAATTAAATATTGAGTACGATTTAGAGTAACCATCCAATGAAATTAGTTAATAATTATACTCTTTTCAACGTTCTAGGAAATAAAATTAAATAAAATGAACATTAATTTAGTTATTGCACCCAAATGAAATATACCTCCATAAAAAGAGCAAACATTTACTTACCAATGAACTTAAACTTAGTGACTGAAGTTATGACACGTAACCCGACTTTACTGCACTGTAATAAAAGTAGTTTTTCTAAAAAAATATCCCGGCTCCAGCTACAAAGATGTTTTTATCTGCAGTACATGACGTGGAAAGAAAATGGAGCCTCTTTGACGAAATTCTGGACATGAATTTAATAAGTTACATTCAGGATATTGGGATCTCCTCTCCAAGAATCTCGTCTATTGAAAAATCCGCAATATTTTCACACATCAGTCTTTGTCTTCGCCACTTTTAATAGATCAATATTTCGACGTAACAATTTCTAAATTAAACGTTTATTTAGTACAAAACTGTCGCAGACGTCTAATCTCGTGCATGATCTTGTTAAGAAGACGTTAGTAAATTAAACAGGAAACGAATTAACCTCACACAATCTGCCACTAATCAAATTCTTCTCAGGCAAATATTATGTCCCTCCGGCACGACTTAGAATTTTATTACTCTCATTCAATACAAAATCATTACTTGACCGACTAATATGAAGATTAAATCCAACATTCCTTTTTAATTAAGAGGTCACAAATTGATTTTTCCTGTTCAGTCCCCATTTAATAAATAACCTGGACTGATACCAGAAAGTCGTGATTGACAATGACCCAAAATTGCCATTATTGTTATTGTTTATCTCAAGAATGTCAACATTTGCAGATAAAATACCTACTTTGGTATAATAAATATGTACATGAAATGCATTTAATGGATGATGTGGTTTCCTAACCTAACTTTTCGCATGATCAAGAACATGAGCGACTAATTGTTTACGTTTTGATTAATCAATCTTCGCTTTTGTATTACTCCATATTTAAAAACAATGTACTTTTGGGGATAATAATTAAAACAGATGGATTTTTGGAATGTAAATGCACATTAAACTCCCCCAAATAAGGATCAATATGGTATAAATATACAAGATAACCCACACAAATAAGAGTCCGTATGTCACTTTGTGCACCTAAAAATAACAGCACATAGTGATGAAGCAGCAAATTAGTAAAATTCCCACAAATAGCGCAAAACGAGCACCACCAGTACCAAACTTGGAACTTGAATTCTATAAATAAAATAAGAACAATAGATGCACTGTGTGCAAGCTTGGGTGCTTTTAATTTTGTAGCCCCGATTCGCCCCCTCAAGCACTCACCTTGAGCTTACTGAACTGCTGCACTGTGTACCTGAAGGTCGCTTCAGAGCGGGCCTCGTCCTCCTCCATATCCGCGTCCTGCACCGTCATGCCGGGGTCCGGCTGGGGCCCGATGATCACCTCCCCGTTCTGCTGGTCCATCTCGCCGCCCCCGGTGTCCGTGACGGACTCGGTGGTGGTGACTGCCGCAGGGAGTTAGTTTTTGTTCGGTTGGCAGACGTCGCTATCACTCACCTTCCTGGGTCTCCATCTCCTCCACCTCGGCCTGGGGGTTGTCTTCGCTGCGCCTGTACTGCCCCGTGACGTGGTTCATGTTGAGGGACGGCGTTCTGGCAGCCCCCGTCCTGTCCTTGGCGAACCCGAACACACCTTTGTTCTTCCTCGCGCTCACCAAGAGGTCCTTGTCCGCAGCCGCGTAACAATTGCCGCAATTGTTATGGGTACTGTTTTTAGTGCCGGAGACGGTAGTCAATTTGACGAAGTGCTTACTCGTGACGCGACCAATTCTTGCTGTTTTTTATACCCTCTGAGCGAGGGCTGCACACAAGACACATGTAATGAGTGGGACTGATGACACGTGACGGATTTTTACGAACTTTGACACTGACTGGATTTTATTTTTCGCACGAGAATTCGCTTTTCATTGACGAAAATAAACAAAATGGAGGCATTTTCTTTACTCTCGGCTCGTGATGGTGGGCACAAACACTCGGCTCGGATACCGGTCGCAACATTCGACTGCGCGGATGCGTACGGGAGGGCTGCGCACGTCAAACGGGCCGGGCGGGTTCGAATTTTCGCGCGCGAAGGATGGGGAGGCGGGAGCGGCGAAAATTTTCGATCAACTATATTCGGAACGGTGATGTGGCAGAAATGCGGGATTTGGGGCGATTTTTAAGCGTTATAAATAGTGCAGGTGGAAATTAACAAGACTACAATTTTGTATAGGCAACCAAATATACAACAAATGAGGCTTATTTCCCATTGTTTTGAATCACAGTGGCGGCGTCAAAGAGGGGACCAAAGGATTAAGGTCGCCCCATGGACAAAAAAATATATTATTTCCTCCATGGGTCGCCCTTGTGAATGCTACTGATTTAAATTGACGATGGCACTAGTAGAAATTTGATAAACATTCGCTGATATATTGTAACCTAATAAAGACGATATTAAAACTTTAGTACCGTTTCATTACATTTTGGGAACGTTTTTAGTACAGTTTACAGTTCTACATCTGTAGACTCCAAATTTTGTTATTATTTATATTAATCTCAGTCATTTTTTATTTCCTGAGTTCCAGAGAACGATTCTGTTAGTGTCATTTATGCCAAAAATAGTCGAACAATTTTCCAATAGAGACCTTTTTCGAACCCGCCGCAGGTTACTTGCACAATTTTCAGGGTTGTATTTAGGAAGAAAGTTAGTCGTTAGATGTTCACTCGGCCAAATACTGAGATAAATTAATTTCATGGTGCTAAAATTAAACAATGTTGTATTATTCTATCTTACACACCTTGTTACTAATTATAAACTCGTTTCAGAATAAATTCTCTCTGGTTATACGGATTATAGGATAGGTGTGGGGTAGGGTGTTCCTTATTTCCCAAGTTTGGTTTTCTTTAACTCTCATCCCTTTAAAAGTTTACATTCGATATAAGAAAAATATATGTAAAATATTATACCCCTAAGTTATCTCCTTCCAGTGCCGCCACCACGATAAATGTTTGATAAACAACACAAAGTACATAACTCTTTTTTCTGTGTCGTAAAATATTTTTATTTTGGGTCAGTAAAATGATATTAATAATTTTGACATTTTTAAAATAAAGTTTATATGTTAAACACATTACTATTATTATTACCAAATCAATATCTACGCAAAAAATATTAAAAATTAAAATGCAATCAATAAGATTTATTTAGAGTAGTTTTTTTTTTACAATTGGGATACATTGCTCTGTGTTCCTGAACCGTTCTTAAGACATATTGTCTTTGATCTTCATTTTTGGTCAACAAACCATGAAAATCTTGTGTCAATTTTACAGATCTTTCTGCGGTGTCATTGACAATTTTACGGGAACTTATAATGGATTTCCCTTTACAAATGATGTGTGGGATACCCATGTTGTTGGATCAAACTCCAAAAACTGACTCTCCCTCTTGTATTTAACTTAACTTCTCTCAAATTATAAAAAAAAAAAACTGATAACACTTGTTTATTCGTAGGAAGTTTTGATCCAAGTATTTGAGTCTCTACTATCCCTACCAAATATACATTGTCTAAGTCTCGGGATGCCATTAGAATTTTTTGTAATCGCTAACATGCTACACATAACAAAAAGTACAATTATTTGACGTTTGTACTCAACACCTACTGCATATTCTGCAGGTTTTAATTTTTGAAAATTCAAGTTCGTGTCGGCACGGGAAAGGATAAAACGAATGGATTAAAATGTTTTATGTGTACTGTCTATTTCAAATGTAAACTTTTTGGCGGGTGAGACCAACTTAATTCGAAAAAATACAAAATCACCTCTAAATAAGGAACACCCTAGTGTGGGGGCTGGCAAGTCCCACAAATTGTACAATATCTTTATAATTGTACATATTCTGTATATATATATATATCTTAACGTGCAACCACTGTCATCCCGAAACTTTCTCTTCGTCCACCTGCATGTCGTAAAACCTATCTTTTGTTCACCCTTCACAATAATCCTTATCCTTCCAAGATTTTGAGTACCTTCCAAGAACCCTTTGCTACAACCGTTTTCACCGCTCTTTACCGACCTGTCTTTTCAAATAAAAATCACAAAATCTGTCACGCTTACAAATCACATACATACTTATGTTTCTTATATTTGTTGTCTGTGGTTGTTTAACAAAATGGATCATTTTAAATTTTTACTTTTTAGGAAATATATACTTAAGGTGATGTTATCGGTTTAGTTTTCAGTGAATTTACAGTAGATTTTGTTTCACAAATACTAGACAACTAGTTGGAATCTGAACCCAATTTTTTTTTTACAATATCTTTGATATGCTATTAGTGTCCGGAACTTATAAAATTGGAGAAAAATGACCTGTTTTGCTCTAATAAAATTGCAAATATGCTCAAAATCACACTAATATTAAGTCCGACTGTGCCGACCATAGTTATAAAATTCACATTAAAGTAAGTCATGGACATTCTTTGAAGTGTTTACTATGATATTCCAAAAAAAAAAAATTCGCGATTTATAAAACTTCATAATTTTGATTTAAAACTGATCATGTTTGAAGCTTTATTTTATTCGTTCCATTTGCTGTCTCTTACTGCGGTCTCTCTCGGATTGGGGTATAACACCCACCGAACGTTCTTGGACCGATGGGATAATTTATTACTTCCGACATCTCTTTGGTGACAAATTTAATCTTTGCATAAATTTACTTCAGTGTAGTTAGTGAACTCGTTGTGACCATTGAAATATATAAAGAGTAAATTTTGAAATGGGACGAAAGTCGAAGATTCCACTTTGAAAGCCACGAAAAAGTCGAAAAAACTTTTATCAGAATTATTATGTTAAAAACCTACTAAAACTACAGACAAAAAATGCAGTTTAATCATCATTTGATTAGTTTTACTATTATTATGCTTTTATTTCCTAATTTCTGTACATATAAATATTATTGTTTTTTAGACCCGCCGCTGTTTTTATACACTTACATAAAATGTAAGTCAATGTTACTAATAGAAATTTTATTATTGTTACTTTATATAATCACCAATCCTATTGCTTCTCGGCTTTTTGTCAAAGATCAAAGTGTATTACCTGAAAGAATTTTATTTTCTTGAATAAAAGATTACTATAAACCTTATAATTAGCCGGATAACCATTCACTATACACAGGTAGTTTCTATACCTCTTTAGTTTGAACTTAGCCGATACTAACCAGCTATGGAACCAGTTATAATTGAAATATGTAAACCAAATAATTGAAGTACTTAGTTTTAAGTAAAACAATTGGGTATATTTATAAATACGCATAAATAAAAACGAAACAAATTATTGGTCTCTAGTTTATTTTATAATTTGCATTACATCATGACATATAGGTACGTATTGATGCAAAAATTGGTGATTTTCTCGTTGCATTTCAGTATAGGGACACACTCAGTAGAACCATTTGGACACTTAAAATTGATTTTGTTTTACTTGCCACACATCTTTTTAGGTGTTGTGCAAGCGATTGTTTTGTGTCCGAAAAATAACTGCATTTACAATTATTCGGCTGAGTGCTTTTTTTTGTTGTAAATCAATCAGTTTCCCAATTAGATTATAATTGCTTGGACTTACTATTTGTTGTCTTAATTTTTCGAAGTTCATTTTTGTACACATTCAGATTTTTATTTCTTATTAATTTCTTGTGGTCATTTTTATAAATTCGTATATGAAAATTGAACTGTTGACGAACGAAAATCGAACAATAATACACGACAAGCTGGTGCCGAACTGTTACCAGAGATTATGGGTGTCATAAATTACACCCCAGCTTTCCTGAGTTTCAACCAGCTTACCAGTACTTCTCGTCTTTATTTTTCTACACGCAAACTTCTTGTGAAAACAATAACACGGCAAAATTAAAAATCCGACAGTTTTCATTTAGCAAACATCCCCTTAATTGTAGCTACATCAGCCACTGTATAGCATCAAAACAACTTAAAAAATAATTATATTATATGTAAAGAATACTACTTGGAACGGATCAAGCAATTTCCTTACAAATATGAATCACTTTTACGCTTATTAGTAAGACAAATTCAGCTTTACCTTCAAGATTTTTTAAAATTCTTTGGTAAGTAGAATATTTGTATCGAACTAATTTTTTCTGGGAATAGAGATTACATGTGTGTTACAACATGAAAATTGGTCTACGATTATTTCGAAAGAATGTGTTTCGTCTCGCATCTGAAGCATATTCAATCCTTTTTCATAAATATATATTGTAACATTTTACTGTCTCAATTTTATTTCTTTTACGATAAGACTTATGAATTAAATATTTTATTATTATCAAAATCGATATGAACTGTTGAACTATAGATCAAGAAGCATGATATGCGCAGTTTCAATGGAGTTTTTTTTTAATTTGGTGATAACGTCATCAACTTTTTAGTGAAGACAAATATCAAACAAATTGCTTCATTTATTAAATTTCTGAAACGTCCTGTATAAACGGTTCAAAAATGTAGTTGTACTGATAAATCATAAGTGTATTCATATAGTATTTTACTAGTTTTAGATAGAACCTATCTAGCAAAATTTTGAGGTGATATAATTATTTTTTTCTGATAAATTGTGAATAGCGACTTAATAATGTACAATTTTCTCCACAATAAAAATTCAAATGTGGCTTCGTAGTTAAATTGTTAAATGTTGTACACTTCTGAGTTTTTGTTTTTTTCTTTTAACGTAAGGACGGATTTATCCGGCAGTTTCATTAATTACCTGGTAACAAAATCGCCAACGCTAACACATGACACACTGAAACGGGAGACCTATTTTTCATAATCTAGACTGCAAAACGTGAAAATAATCATTATCAAAATAGACTATGTTACTATAAAAATTATGGGAATTGGGGTGCGGGTGATGTAAGTAAAATAACCTCTTCTTTTTTATCATACGATCATAATTACACGAAACAAATATTTTTAAATTCAATGTGGCACTCCCTACGTTCCCTATAGATCGAAAATGTT